ATCTATCTATCTATCTATCTATCTATCTATCTATCTATCTATCTATCATCAGTCTATATCTATCTATCTATCTATCTATCTATCTATCTATCTATTTATCTAATCTCATTGCTTATCAATCTATCATCCCTCTATCAATTCATCTCTATCTCTATCTACTTACCTACCATCTATCTCTACCATCTGTCTATTCTCTCTCTCTCTATATACATATATATGTCTATCATCGGTCTATATCTATCTATCTATCTATCTATCTAATCTCCTATCGCTTATCAATCTATCTATCATCCCTCTATCAATTCATCTCTATCTCTATCTACCTACCTATTTATCACCTACCATCTATCTATCTAAAATCTGCCTGTCTATCTAAAATCTCTCTCTTATCTCTATCAATCTGTCTTTATCATCTCTATCATCTCTATCAATCTACCTACCTATCTTATCATCTACCATCTATCTATCTCTACCACCTATCTGTTTATCCTCTTTCCATCTGTCTATCTATTTATCTATCATCGTCTACCCCATCCTTCCGTCCACCCATCTGTCCATCTTGAAACCTCTCCTGAGTCCAATCCCCCAACTGTGACGTTCCTTGAGAATGCCTTCGATGCTCCTAAGAAGAGAAGCCCTGCTCACCTGGATGGAGCTGCCTTCCTTCCAGAAGCTCATCGCTGGGTGTTTCCCAGTCGATCTATCAGAGCCTTTTTCTGACTCTTTTCAGGTCATTCGGAGACTGAGAGAAAGAGGGGAGCCCATCAGGCTCTTTGGGGAAACCGATTACGACGCCTTTCAGCGATTGCGAAAAATAGAAATTCTGGCTCCGGAAGTGAACAAGGTAAGCCTGTTCGTTAAGGCAGATTCAGCGTGGAAATGATTTATACAGGAGCCCTCCAGACAGTGGCTCCTCCCCTCCATGGCTTTAAAGGATATATCACTATATTACCCAAACAATATTGGATTTATAATATATTTTTTGCTTCCCTGGTGAAATGAAGCTTTTTCTCTGCTAATGAATTGGTTGGTAGAAAGTCTTAGGATCCGAATTAAGAGAGATCCAATTTGGACTGGTTTATGTGGAATTGTTGTGGTTCCCCGGCACAGGTGTGGATGGCTGAGGTCTTGAAGAGGGAGGACTCAGGTGAGGGGCCTGCATGTGAGGCAGGGATGGGGCCAGGACCATCAGGGAGTGGGGTGCTGCCTTCGGAGGTTGTGGAGGCTGGCAGCAGTGAGGAAGAGGCCCCCGAGGAGCCTGTGCCCAGTGTGCATGCGCGCAGGGCTGCTCGAAGGAAAGGTCAGCTGCAGCAGCATGGGCAACTCGGGAGTAAGGCTGCAAGGTAATGGCCCCTCCCTTAAGAGATAAAAGCCAGCTGAGAAACCGGAGTTCTTTGCAGGAAGCAAAGAAGTTCTTGCACTCAAGCCTTGTGGATGTTCGGAATATCTTGGTTGGTGTTTGGAGACTGATATATTTCTTGGCAACCTTATCTAGTGTTCTTGGCAGCCTCGCACCACCTTGGCAAGGCTCGTTCTTATCCGAGACAATGAGTTTGGAACAGCCTTTGAACCGGGAAGGAACGGAATTCGTAAAGAATCATTAAAAGGTTTTGCTGTTACCTCCGTTTCGTGTTTGTTTCCTTGGAACAAGGTTTGGGTCAGACCAGGAATGTACACAGAGTCATCCTGAGTATGTTAATTATTTGAGATAAAAAGCTTAAATGAAATGGAACACTGCTGGCCCCACTACACAGTGTTGCTTTTGGTCCCTCACTCTGTGCATCGGCGTTGGGATTTACATGGAAATCTTAACAAAGAGAATGGATAGTTGAGTTGTGGCTTATGCTTTGAGACCATAAATGTTTAGGCGTCGTAGTGCATGAAAACCTGGGATCAGTTTGTGTGTCCCTCAGATATTTGTCATGGGCTTTTAGAGATGCAGGAGCACTGCAGTTGTCCAGACTGGGATGGGCCAGATCCTGTATATTGCAAATTTTATACCACCTTGCCAGCTGATGCGGTTCATCTTGGGTAGCTCCAGGATTTTGACAGACATGTGTTGAGTTCGCTTGGAAGTCCAAGCAGTCCTCGACTTGTGACCACAACTGAGCCCAAAATTTATGTTGTTCAGTGAGACATTTGTTCAGTGAGTTTGTTCAGCCATCCACACCTGTGCCGGGGAACCCGTTTTACGACTTCTCTTGCCACAGCTGTTAAGCGAATCACTGCGGTTGGTAAGTTAGTATCCTGGTTGTTTAAGTGAACCCCATGGACTTTGTTCGTCCGAAGGTTGCAAAAGGGGATCACGTGACCTGGGGACCCTGCAACCCTCGTAAGTGCATGCCAGTTGCCAATTTTGATCACGTGACTCTGGGGAGGTTGCAACGGTCGTAACTCTGAAAAATGGTCGATAAGTCACTTTTCTCAACGCCGTAGCAACTTTGAACAGTCACAGTAAACAAACTGTTGTAAGTCAAAGACCACCTGTACGCCAGCTTGATGATCTATTTCTTCTTGTGGCCTGCCAGTGGCCAGTGGAGCTGGTGGCAGATTCGGACAGTGAGCAGGTTGGGAAGGAGCAGAGGCCAGTCCTGGAGTCTGGGGAAGGCTCTGTTGAGGGCTCTGCGTCAGAGGCAGAGATGGGGCCAGGGCCATCTGACAGTTATCAGCTGCATTCAGAGTCAGAGATCAGTGGGGAAGAAGAACGGCTGGAGCCTGTTCCCAGTGTGCGCATGCGCAGAGCTGCCAGGAGAAGGGAACAGTTAAGGAACAATGGTTGACTCCGGAGTAAAGGCTCAGGTGGATGGTGAATGGCCCCTCCCAGAGGGAATAAAGAGGAGCAAAAGGGGGCGGGGGGGCTTTTGGAGGAGACAAACAGTTCAATTCATTCGGGTGAAGCTCTGTTCCTGACTCCTTGCCAAGTAATTCCTGCTACAGCATGGCGCTTGGAAGCTATCAGCCTGGCAGCTCTCCAAGCCCGATAAAAGTTTGTAACTGTGAAATCTGATGAAAGACTCTTTGCCGGGACTTTGCTGGAGAGGAATTCCCTTTAACCTAAATAAATGGGGTTTCATCAGGACGAGGAGTTGGCTTTGTGATTTTGGGGAGCCCCGGCCAGAGCAGTTCTCGTCTGAACTTTGGTAGATCGTTTGGTTAATTTGACGCGCTCCTTAAAGGCTTTCCCTCCCGTAGGGATTGAGGAATGACTTGAAGGCGGCTTTGGATAAGATCGACCAGCAATACCTGAACGAGATCGTAGGAGGCCAGGAGCAAGGAGAGGATGACGCGCAGAACGACCTCAAAGTCCACGAGGAGAACACGACCATCGAAGAGCTGGAGGTAGGGGCGTGGCATTTGGGAGCGGGTCAAGACAGTCGACGCATTGTGGGAATTCCTGTTCCCGTGGCGCTGACGAGGCGGGCCTTGTTTGCTTGGGAGGCAGTCCAGAGGGCCAATTAGGCCCCTCCCGTTATCTCTTCGCCCGCAAAGCAAGTCAAGAATTCAATGCAGCCTTGATGCCAACCAAGTCTTGAACTGTAGGCAGGTTTCAGGAAACAGGAAGTATCCCACAGCTTTATTCATGGTTCACTTCTCGGAAGATCTTGTTACTTGAACGAGAACCTGTCGTCAGTGTGTTCTGGAAAGATTTTTATTCTCAGGTTCGTGGAATAAAAAACCATAACAAGAGTTGGGAGGAACCTTCGAGGTCTTCTAGTCCAACCCCCTGCTTGAGCAGGAAATCCTATACCATTCCAGTCCAAGGGTTGTCCAACCTTTTCTCGTTCCAAGTTTTTATTTTTATTTTTTATAGCATATAAAAATTCCAATTTCAACCGGTGTGTTGTCTGGGTACACATATTTTTAGGCTATAATAATCAAAATGTTTGCAACAATATTTGTTACATTGATGTTCATTATAAGAGTATCAATAATAATAATAATTACAATATTATTTTCTTAACCAATTCAACGCCTTGCTTATATCACTGATCCTATCCATCTATTTCTCTGTTTTTAGCTCCTGTTTTTTTTTTCCAGCTAACCATTGATAAAATAAGTCCCAAGTCAAAAAGTATTCCGTTTCCTTCTTTTCTTTAATTTTAAGCATTAGCCTATCCATTTCTGCACATTCCAGTATTTTTTTTAATCGCATTTTTGTCTGTTGTGATCTCTTGGCCTTTCCATTGTTGCGCCAATACAATTCTAGCTGCAGTCAGTACATGCAAAAATCAAATATGCACTCCCTTTATTATATTGATTTGGCAAAATGTCCAATAGAAATGTCCAATTGGATAAGAAATGTCTATCCAATCTCTTGAAAAACTCCAGTGATGGAGGTTCTGGAGAGAAGTTTTTCCATTGGTTAATTGTCAGGAAACTTCTCCCTAGTTCTAGGTTGCTTCTCTCCTTGGTGAGTTTCCATCCATTGCTTCTTCTCTTGCCTTCTGGCGCTTTGGAGAAGAGGTTGACCCCCCCCCTCTTCTTTGGGGTAGCCCCTCAAATATTGGAACATTGCTATCATGTCACCCCTAGTCCTTCTTTTCACTAGACTAAGACATACCCAATTCCTGCAACCATTTTTCGTATGTTTTAGCCTCCGGTCCCCTAATCATCTTTGTGGCTCTCATACTGTACTGTATAAACAGTTGGAAAAAAAGGTCCCAACTTTTTAAAGTAGTAGAAGAACTAAAGAATGTCTTCTCTACACCCAGAACATCCTTGCTTGCCTTGATTCTCATCCCTAAAATATAATGTCCTTGAGTTTTGGATATTTGTATCATGGTCTGTTGTTGGAAATATATCTGAATCTGTTTTTTTTTCTCTCTCTTTCTCGTCGCAGGCATTGGGAGAATCCTTAGGTAGGGGTGATGACCATAAAGATATGGATATCATCACTAAATTCTTGAAGGTAAAAAGCCAAACAAGACATGAAAACTGTAAACCTGCTGATAAGCTGTGAGAATCTTGATTTTATACACCTGTATGATTTTTAGGGTTGAGAACTTGACATTGCTAGATATTTCAGTTGGGGTGAATATTCAGAAGTTGCTGTTAGGAATTTTTAAGCAAAGGAATAGAATCACGGGCTGCTTTAAAAACTACCTTCTATCAAACTTCAGTGTCGTCTGAGTTTTGGGGAGATTTCTGCTGTCTTGTTGAGAGATGACAGAAAATGGGCTATTTCTATTCTGGAAATATCTGTCAGGATTCTGCAGTTCCCCCCACATTTAAATCATGAGTCTTGAGCCAGTCTTCCAAAACTTCCAAGAGGATTTATTGGGAGTTAAACAGTCCGGCACTGCCTGGGTGTAGCTGACTCTGAGACCCATCATTCACTGTCACCCTTGACCCTGGTGTTCCCTCTACCCCCTGGGTGTATCGTAATCCGTATTCTCCAATGGGACACCTCCATAGCCCAGAGTCATCAATCAGGCTCTCCAGGGAGAATTTTGCACGGCAGAAACTTCAGTCACCTAATTACTGCCATATCTTTGAAAAGCTATTGATGGAATGCACTTTCGGTTTCCAAGCTGTTGCACTGCTCTTTCCACCCCCCCCCCCCCGCTCCTTTTCTGTTGGGAAGTCTAAAAAGCCCCTGGAGATATTTTATGAGTTGACATCTTCCCATGTACGATCCTTCTGTATAATACCACTTTTTATAACTATGAACAAACGGTTTTCGATGGATCTTTACAATAAATTCAGTATACAAACATTTTCCCTGGGATTTATTTTTGGACCTCAAATTGCATTTTATTGCCTCTGCTGATATAAAGAATTTTATTAACCTCTCTTGGTTTAAGACTTCAAAGATCCAAGCATTTTTTTTTTTAAAAATGTGGGTTTTAATATGCTGCCCTAGCTAATCTCCCCCCCCCCCCCCAGCCTGGGTGCCTTTTAGAGACATTGACTTCCAGGGCTCCCAAGTTGGCGTGCACTTGGCTGAGGATTATGGGGGTTGAGATCCATACTTCTAGAGCCCCCCCTCCCCCCCCTTGGGAAGGGAGCTCCGATTGGCTTCTGGATGAAATGTACCGAGACTTATGTCAGTCTGTAGCTTAACCAGGTTTCGCCTGTCTCTAGTTTCTTCTTGGAGTTTGGGCAAAGGAGCTGAACGCGAGAGAAGATTATTTGAAACGGGGCGTCCACGGGAAGTTGAACAGCGCGACCCAGAAGCAGACAGAGTCATACCTGAGGCCTCTCTTCAGAAAACTCCGGAAAAGGGTAACGCCTCCAAGATTATTTCCCCCCCCCCTTCCCCCTTCTCTCTTTTCTGGGTATTCTTGCATAATATCGACTGTTATTATTTTTTCCTTTGTTAAAAAAAAAAGTAGTGTTAGGATTCCGGCAGTCGCCCCCATTTAAATCAGGAGTCTCGAGCCAAACTTGCAAAACTTCCGAAAGGATTTATTGGGAGTTAAAATGTCCGGCATTGCCTGGGTGTTGCCGACTCTGTGGCACATCGTTCATGGTCACCCCTGAGCCTGGTTTTCCCTCCAACCCCTGGGTGTAGCGTAATTCATATATTCTCCAATGGGACACCTCCATAGCCCAGAGTCCTCAATCAGGCTCTCCAGTTGGAATTTTGCGTGGCAGAAACTTCAGTCACCTAGTGAGATGTAAGACACCCCCCCCAATAAATGTATATTCACAATACGAAGACAAGTCTGGTGCACAATTTCAAAGGATTATTGAAGAAAAGAAAAGCGGTTGCAAGCAACGGTCATAGGTGTGAAAAAAGGGCCTGAGTCATTTTTTTCAGTGACATAACTTCAAACGGTCACTAAACGAACCGTTGCAAGTCAAGGATTACTTTTATAGGGAGGTGTTGGGGTTTTTTTTGGAAATATAAGAGCTAATTCTTTTTCTTACCTGCTTAAAATAAACATTTCCATCTGTGATTGCCATCAACCATGTCTTTAATTCAGGTTTTTTTCTTCTTTGGAAAGCCTGACCCTGACAATAAGAAATTAACACAAAACAACCACAACCCTTTCCATATTGCCATATGTTGCTCTGCCTCACTGGGTGTTTGTGCTTCGTCTCTTTTTAGACTCTGCCTGCAGACATCAAGGAATCCATCACAGATATTATCAAGTTTATGTTGCAAAGAGAATACGTGAAGGTACCGCCCGGTTTTCTATCTCTCTCTCTCTCTAGTTAGGAAATGTAAGTTTAGAATGGGGCAGAAATTTCTTCAGAGTTTAGGATTGTCCACCTGTTTCTGAAGAGTAGATCTTCGAAATTGTGGCTGTTTTAACAGAATAACAAGAATTGGAAGGGACCCCGGCGGTCTTCTAGTCCAACCCCCTGCTCAAGAAGGAAACCTTCTATCATTTCAGACCGGTGGTTGTCCAACCTCCAGGGTCTGCCTTGCCTCGCACGATACTGACTGGGCTGTTTCTGCAGGCCAATGACGCCTATCTCCAGATGGCAATTGGGAACGCGCCTTGGCCGATTGGCGTCACCATGGTTGGCATCCATGCCCGTACTGGCCGTGAGAAGATCTTCTCCAAGCACGTGGCCCACGTTTTGAACGACGAGACTCAGAGGAAATACATCCAGGTAAGAGGAACGGAATTGTGGATGTGTTTTTGGGAGACTCGTATTCATGTCTGCGTTTCCAAACACAAATCGTGTGGAGAGAGAGAGAGAGAGAGAGAGAGAGAGAGAGGTGGAGCCTGGGCTGTCTGTCAGCCTTCAGGTGGAGAGTCAAGAGCCCCCAGGTCTGGAGGTGGCTGATGAGGAAGAGGAGGAACAGCTGGGCCCAGTGCCTGACGCAAGGATGAGCAGAAGGAGAGGAGAGGAGAGCAGTGGAAATCTATGGGCTGGTCCTTGGAACAGAAGAGCCACTGCTGCTAGTGAAGCCCCATCTGGGGATAAAGGCAGGCAGCGGAGGTGAATAGGTGTGGCAGACAACTATTCGTCTCCCTGTTGGTTAGTCACTGATATTCTGAACTTCTGAATCCTGTGGGTAACTTAACGGAATTCTTTCTTGGAATGTGCGCCGCTGAGAATCAAGCACGCCTTTGGAGTTTCTGCACGTGTGTGTGTGTGTGTCTGCTGCTGCACTCCCCTTCCAGGACTCCCTTTACGAGTGCGGGTAGAAAGAGAGACTCTGTTGGTGTGATGACCCAAAAGGGGCGTGGCACAAAGGCAACACAGTTACATAAGTAAGAAGAGTCCCTTTAGTACTTCCTATTTTTCTCCCAATGTCCAGTTACCTTCAGCTGGAGAAAAAATTCTCCCAAGAACAGCCTTTAAGTGGAGGAAATTCAGTCCGAAAACAAAGGATATGCAAACTGTAACTAAAAATCCACACAAACCACGCTGCAGTAATTAAGTTGACAGGGCAGGAGAAGGAATTGCAGACTTCAAAGCCCAGCAAAATACACACAGTTGGGAAGATGCCAGGAACTCAGATAAGCCTCGACAATAAAAGATAACTCATGATTTGCTCCCAACATCTTGCTGCGCGCAGCTTCCCTTTTTAAACACCGTGTTCCCAGCTGCAGCAAATGAAGGGAATCAGGGCCTTTTCCTCCCACGTAAGCCACGCAACCCACATTGCTCCCTTCTCCGTTCCTCCCTGCATGCTCCCTGCATGAAGAGGGGGTGGGCCTGAGTCTTCCTCCAAATTCCCTCTCCCTTGTTCTACCTCTTCCCTGCTCTGCCCAACCGGACTTTGCCCTTCCCCAGTTTCCTTCACAGCCAATGGACCCCACTTCTACGCCCTGTCAGCTGCTTGGCCTCCCCCTCCGAATCAGATTCCGACAGGGGCATGATAGTTGGCGCCATTTCATTCGGAAGGGGGAGCAAACTTTGCTTTCCCCAGGCACTGAGACTTCAGGGCTGCTGGCGCTCCTAATAGAGGGGACATTTGGTTACAAACGGTGTGCTTGTGTTTGGGGAGCGGGCCAGAACACTGGGGCCCCAGGGACATAAGGGCCCACCTCCTGCTTTGCGCCTGTCTCTGCAGGGTTTGAAGAGGCTGATGACCATCTGCCAGAAGCACTTCCCCACCGATCCGTCCAAATGTGTTGAGTACAACGCCTTGTGACCACGCTGCAACCTTCTTTCTGCTCCTGGGGCCCAGGCAAGATGGGAGAAGGGACAGACTCTGTGCGCACTTCGCCTCTGAAGCTTGGAAGAAACGGCTGAAGTCAAGTTTGGCCCCTGTGTTGGACTTCAACTCCCAGAATTCCCCAGCCAGCCGTGCAGTTCTGGGAGTTGAAGTCCACCCGTCTGCATTTTGCCAGACTGGACAAGCACCGTCTGAGGTTCTGCCCAAGCAATCAATCACCACTGCTCAAGCTTCTATCAACTTGTGTGTGTGCGTGCATGTATATGTGTGTCTCTCTATATATGTATATATTTGTTTTCTTAAGTTTTCGCGGGTACTTACATGTATGGTATTCAGCTTTGTTCGGGTATTTTCCCACGTCATTGTAGTTGTGCTTTTAAAGTTGTAGCAACGTTTTGGCAGAATCTCATCTGCCATCATCAGGCTTCTTATTTGTCTGGATGAACACAATATAGAATCCTGATGATGGCAGATGAGATTCTGCCGAAACGTTGCTACAACTTTAAAAGC